CAGTCAGAAGACTTCAAGGTATATATATTCTTGATCAGCATCAACAGCCGAGTCGATCTAGACATGTCCGTTTCTACGCAAACTAGTCTCCTAGTTTTTAAGCTACCTGAATGAATCTTTGCATGAATGAATGAAATGACAGCAGGCATTACTTAATTGTTTTTGACATAAATATATTTAATTATATTGTATTAATTCCTAGTGATCGAAGTTCTATCTGCAAGGGTATATACACTTTGGCGTGCCGAATTCAGCTTCGTTTCTTGTTTATTTGTACTTTTTATTATCAATTCCCGATATTTTAATTTAATTGTAATTTTTGCTTTAAAGTTTTAAATCGATCATAACAAAATATACGAAGTTATGGGTATTTCAATGAAAGTTGTATTCAAAAACTATGAAAAGTCGGTGTACACTCTAACGGAACAATCGTTTTAAATCTTTATTAAATAATTGTACTAGTCTCACGACACTTGTTTATTTTATTATATTTTTTATTTAACAAACTGATTTTCTTAGTCAAAAAACGACCTTTAGACTTTTAATTTTGATAAAAAAAAAAACGTTCGGTCACTATTTATTTTTGAAAAGTGGCGTGTCTTACACCGAATTCAGTTCAGCTATATTTTTGAATTTATCATCTCTCATCGAATCGAGGGCGATACATGAACATATATATATATATGTATATACATATATGTCAAAGTAAGCAGCAAAGCTTTTTGCCATTCACATGTCTGTTTCCCATATCGCCTAAAAAATAATATGTGCCAGTTATAGTTTCAGCGTCTTATCTATTAAGTAAATAAAATAAACACTGACCCAATTTTCAGTTTCATCACTGTTTTCTCAGTAAAGAAAAATCCAACACATTTACTTTAATCTAAAGTGTTGTGCAGATTCTTGTATTAGCCCTAACTGGTAGTTCTTTTTCCCCAAAGAACAAAAAATACATGTGTATATATACATATACATATATATTAAATTATATAAATACAGCGCAGAATATTCCATCCCCGAAAGTGTGAATTTTGTGGAGAGAATGTAAAATAAAACGCCAGGATATATGTTTATAAATTATAAGTCTTACAAATTGTAATTGTGGATTCAGTTGGCTTACAATAGCGAAGCAGCTACTAACTCACAAAAAATACCGAATATTTTTTGACGCATTTTTTCTAAAACGCCCCTTACAATTCGTCGTGGTCGCTTTCTTTGTCCTGCTTAGATTCATCCTTCTCTTCATCATCATCGTCTTCATCCTCATCATCCTTATCTGATGATTTTTTCGCCTCCTCCTCGTCCTTCTTGCGTTGCACCTCATCCTGAGCCTCCTTCATCTTCTTCTCGCCGGCTTGAGTGGTCTTCACACCAGCTACGACCTTGGCCGCCAGCTCAACGTCGTCAGTGATCAGGACATTGTCGAAGATGGTGCCAGACTTAACCTGCCACAGGTCGAAGCCCAAGGTGCAGATCTCCTTGCGCAGGTACAGTTTGTCGTCGGGTACATATTCGGGGTTGGCGATCTCGGGATGCTCCCATGCGCCCTTGTAGTTGGGGTTATCCAGCTGCTTCGGCTGCCACTCGCCCTTGTATTCAGGATTGTCAATCATCGGTGGCTCCCACTCTCCGTCCATCTCATCATCCCAATCCTCAGGCTTGGTGGCATCAGGGTCGGGGATGTGCTCGGGCTTCTCCCAATCCTCTGGCTTCTTGTCATCGGGATCCGGGATGGTGGCCTACAAAGTATAATTAATTTTATATCAATAAATATGAGAAGAGCATAAAGAAACGATAACGAAAAAAACACAGCTTTATATCCTTAGCTTAGCTTAGCCACGTATGTCAATAATGAAGCGTTTGTGTTGAATTCATAATTATACATAAATATCACACAATTGAGAAAGGTGGTGTTGATGGTTTTGGTACCGGCTTCAAGATAAACCGGTTTTAGTATTTGTACCAAAGTCCAAATTTTCTGAAGCCGGCTAAGATAATTTATAACCTCAACATTTTCTTTTGTTTATTAGTTTTTCCCACCAAAATTGCAAGCTCACCCTATCATCCCAATCCTCTGGCTTCTTGGCGTTGGGGTCCTTGATCTTCTTGGGGGCGAGGAAGTCCCAGTCGTCCTCCAAGTTGCCCGACTCCACCTTCTCGTTGTCGATGAGCACCTCGTAGGTGTTGTCCGGGCGCACAATCAGCGTATAGAAATGGGTGTACACGTCATCTTTGCAGCGGATGTCTTTGCTGATCAAATGGTTCTTGCCCTTATAGCTGAATATGACGTGGACCTTCTTAGTGCCTGGCCCGCAGATGTCGGGGCCGAACATGATCTCGTAGGGCGACTCGCCGTGCATATCGGTCTGGTCCAGAGAGCAGTCGAAGAGCTTCACATAGCCACCGCCGCAGTCGATGTTCTGCTCGTGCTTCACGGAGAACTGCACCACGAGGGGCTTGTCCTCGTTTGAGAATCCCTCAAACTTGCGAGACACTGCGTAGAAGCGGGCGTCCTGCGAGGTCTGGATACCTATTTAAGAAACCGGAATGGAATCGTAAAGGTTATCCACATGAAATGTACACGTAGTGGTTTTTTATCTACACATCTAGCCAACTACATACATACATACATACATACATATGCATGTACGTACATATCCAAGTTGTGCAGGAAAATTGGACATGAAAATGTGACACATACCCTTATCAGTTTCCGCATCATTGTAGAAGGTGCCAGGGGTAAGGACGAATTTTCCAAACTCCTTGCCAGGATGTTTGCTCTGAATCCACGCGTCGTCCCAGTTGGCTGTATAATACAACAATCATTGAAAACCACATGCCGCCCGGGAAACACCCAAAAATGGATTGACTGGATGGCTTTACGTACCATTGTCGAAGTTCTCCTCCAGGTATACGTCGGCATGAATAAAGCCAACTGTCGCCAGCAACAAAATAGCACTTGAACACCACATGATGCGAACGATCCCACTTACTTTTCTGGATTGACGGCTCCTACCAACTTTTCTGGCTGCTTGACTCGGGCTAAAGTAAAATGCTAAATGCCGGCAAGAAAAAGTGCTGTTTATTTATTGCATTTGACTTGCGTGTGTCTGAACGAGATGACTAGTACGACGGCTTGCGTTGCTGGAACGTTTTCATTGGCTGGATGTGGGCCAATCGAATGCGGCAACGTATTTTTTCGCTCCGTTCAGGGATGATTTTGATATATTATCGCAGGCTGCCCTGGTTTTTCAACAGAGTGTGACCCTGCGGTCACTTGCGCTTTAAAAATGCCGAAACACGTCTTAAGCTTTAAAGCACAAAAAGTGAGCCCCCAGCACTTGTGCTTTAAAAATGCCGAAAACGCTAACACGACTAGTTTGCACTACTAAGTTGACTTAGAATATGCTTAGTTCCCTGAGCAACAAAATACCGACGGTTATTTTTGAAGCCAGTGTTGAAAAGTTTAGATTTTTCAAAGCCAGTGTTGAAAAGTGTTTCGGTTTTTTTTAGCGTCGGCTTATCAGCTGTTGACGCCCACGTGTCTACCCGCACTAATCAAATGGATTCCTTAACAAACGGATGGTTCAGCGAGCTCCAGGCCGAGCTGTGGCCCGGCCAGTCCTTTTCCCTGAAGATCAAGGAGGTAATCCACGAGGAAAAGTCCAAGTTCCAGGATATCAAAATTGTTGAAACGTAAGTCTATCAAAAAAACATTAGGAAACAAAAACTTGCTTGCACATTTATGGATTTGTTTACATCTGAATGGGCATACTTGTATGTAAAAGCCGGTCTAATTTTCTATTGTATATGCATGTTTAACAAAGTTAAAGTCTCAAAATAATCTAGTCACTGCCAAGAAACAAATGACCACGTTCTCGGAGTGAAAATTTTTCCATCACGAATAGAAAATTTGATTCTGACCCTTTTGATTTGTATATTTTAAACTGCACGCGAGCAGCCTTATCTGTAGAGTCATCTAAGGCCAAAGACAAAAGAAAAAACTGATAGCCAGTTAGGCCTCATGTTTTGGGTTTCATATGATTCCATAAAAAATGTGTTCTTTTTTCAGGGAAACGTACGGCCGGTGCTTGATTTTGGATGGGATTATACAGTGCACGGCCAGGGACGAATTCTCATACCAGGAGATGATATCCTTCCTGCCGCTCTGCGCCCATCCTAACCCAAAGAAGGTGCTGATCGTGGGCGGCGGCGATGGCGGTGTGGCCCGTGAGGTGGTGAAGCATCCGTTGGTTGAGGAAGTCCATCAGGTTGAGATCGACGATCGCGTTGTGGACCTCTCCAAGAAATATTTACCGGCGATGGCGTGCGGATTCGAAAGCGAAAAGATGAGGCTAACAATCGGCGACGGCTTTGATTACATGAAGAACCACAAAAACGAATTCGATGTCATCATTACTGATAGTTCGGATCCGATTGGACCGGCTGTAAGCCTGTTTCAGGAGAGCTACTACGAGCTGATGAAGCACGCCTTGAAAGACGATGGAATTGTCTGCTCCCAAGGTGGGAGTTTCTGGTTGGATCTGGACTACATCAAGAAGACAATGTCGGGTTGCAAGGAGCACTTTGCAAAGGTGGCGTATGCGGTCACCTCCGTTCCATCGTATCCCTGCGGCCACATCGGCTTCGTCATGGGCTCGTTGAACGAAAATCAAAGCTTTGCTACTCCTAAACTAGAGAAGCAGCAGATAGATGCCATAGATTTGAAATACTATTCATCCGAAGTTCATTCAGCTGCGTTTGCCTTGCCGCGCTGGGTTCAGAAACACTTTTACGATTGACTTTGCCAGAACGGTAAAGATATTTTGTGTATATCTTTGTTGTTAAATAATAAATATGACAATAGAATAATTACAAAATTTAACGGATTTTGACTACATCTCAAGCCGAAAAGAAGTTTAAAAATGATCTTTCTCTTATCATTCCCACAACACATTCCTTTGATACGATAAATTTCTCAAGAAAGCTTGATGATTGGGTTACGGTTGAAAATAGAACAAATGTAATGTATTTATTACGTAATGGTATATACAGTTCGTGTCTTGTATTTGTAAGTGGTTGCTGGTAAACATAATGAGACAATGCAATATTTTTACACGATCGAATCTTTATATCGCATAATTATATTGCAAAACTTTGAAAGGAAGCGTTTCTTATGTTACGAAGTTACTTAAGTCTGCTGCGTATATTTATCTAAGGACTAAAAATTGATACTCCATTTTTGTAACTTAGTTGCAAAATTATACATTCGGCCGGTGTTATATATTGTTATTATAGTTAGAAAACGCAATAGATACATAATTACAAAATTATATGTAAAATATGTACACTTACCCTATATATGTATGTATTTGTTTTGTTTGCTATTTTGTGGTCTATATTCTAATGTTAAATATCATTTGTTATGCGTTGGATAGGTTTTGTGCCTAAATGGGCGTGTTTGTGTGTAATAAATATCATGTATGTGCAGCATTGTGTTTTGGTAGCCAAGCTCCGGTTTTCAAAAAAAGGAAATGAATCGATGAATGATTTGGATTGTTAAAATGATAAATATATATGTATACATATACGATACGTACGTACGTACGTTTTTTAACTGGGTAATGTGGAAATAAATTTTTAAACTTAATTCGAGCAAAGAGTCTCAACTTAATTCGAAATAATTATAATGGAAGGGTGCTCTTCTTACAAGGTAAAGTAAATATTTATACATGTATAAGGTACCTACTTCTAAGGCGTGTTTCATCCAATACTAAAAGTGAAAAAGGAAATCTGTTACGATTCTTTGAAAACCGGCTTCATGGTAGTCTATAATTTGTTAATGTGACTGTTTTAAATGGTTGTTTACATCGTGAATTTGCGTTGCGTTTCGATTTGCGCGTCTGTTTCATTTATAATATTGATATAAAAAGAGCGTGAGTGTACTTTTTCTTCTTGAATGGCCAACACAAAATATCTATATGAATACATTTCGTTCATGTTTATGTTTGCTTTTACGTTAGGGAGAGGTACTAGATTGTTAACAACTTCTATGTAAAACAAGTTCTGTTCTTGTAACTTGTGGTACCGTTTAAAGCGCCAAATTATTTCGACGACCGTTGACCTTATTGACTAAATTGCAGATTTTTAAGGCTGGTCCTAGCTTCAGGCCCATGTACTTCATCATCATCTCTGAATTTAGTAATAATAAAGCTTTTCCATCGATTTCCTGCAAAAAATTCAAAAAATCCATTCAGTTATAGATTTTTATCAAGTTTTTGTAGTCACTCACATGCTTTCTGAAGAGGTCACCGTGCACTGCAAGGGTGATGTCGTTACTCTCTATGTACTGGATAACTTCTTCGATGGACCAGTCGATGGGCTGCGCCCGCATTTGTGAGTTCGCTGATGCCGGCGTGGGTGTGCTCAGGGGTGAGGTAATCGCTGTATAGCTCGTGGATGCAGCTGCAGCTGCCCCGGCCGGCGCGGTAGCCGCCTTAGCTGCCGTCACTCCGCCTGCAGCCAGTGCAGTGGACGAGGCTGACTGGCAGCCCGTAAATGGCGTTGATACAGAGGTTGGTAACGAGGCACTCGACGAGAGCGTCGTCGGGCTCTTGTAATAGCTGTTGCTTGAGGGCTTAACGGTGACCTGCTCCGGATGCACTTCGGCCACGAGGGGTGCCAGGTATTTCCCAATAGAGCTGGTATTAGCCGTTCCGCCTGCCAGGCTTGAGCTGGACGAAGTTGACGAACTGCTGCAATGGCTGGTGGAAACCGAGGGAGTCTGGCTTGCGTCTGCACTTCCATTAGCCACAATCGTATTGCTGTTCCCGTGGTGTTGGAAGCGCACTTTGCGCAGAGCCTGCGTTGTGGAGGATGATGGGACTGCTGTTAATCCATTTGGTTCGGTCTTTATGACCACCTTTGTGTTGGTCTTGTTGCCACTGTTCGTATTATTGTTGTTGTTGTAACTGTGACTGTTCTGATGGTTTGCTGCGTCCTTGCTATTGTTCGTCGATGCCTTGGGCTTACTCTCCTCGGGCAATTTAATTCCCGCCTCTACCTTGACAATCGCCTTCTCTGAGGGCATAGTCGTTGCCGAATTGGATTGACGATTTCGCTTGTCGGCGAGTACTGGCGAAGTGGGCGGTGTTGCCGATTGGGCCAGCTGGCGTTTGCGGCTGTTGGCGCATTTCTTGCACTCCTCCGTCTCGTGGACAAGCGAGATGAGATTCGCACATGCCCGGCATGTAGTGCACAATGTCTCTATGAACTGGGCCAGGCTCTCGTCATCTTTCATGCGCAAGGGCGATGGTATTTTCACCTTTAAGGCGCAAATAAAAAGGAAGTTTGTATAACACAATATTTTTTTTTTAAGCTCAATTTCAATATACTCACTGTAAAATTCTTTCCCGCTGCGGTCACAATGTGAACGTCTCCTTCCAAGGCAAAAAGCAGCTTCGATAGCTGCTGTGTATCCGTGCTGGCGGCCAGAACCTCCTGAAGGCAGAGCTTGGCCAGCGTTTGGTACGTTGGTCCAGTTACCATGCATGGTAGTTTGGAATTGTTGATAAACGGACCGCCCTTGCAATTAGGATGGAAGTGGGCGGTGGCGGGCGAGGCGGGTACCATGGCCTCGGACTCGGCTACCAAGGTATAGCGCGGACGCGTGCATCGCTGTTTGCTGTTGCTGGATTCCATGCGTGACTTGTGCCCCGGCGGCTGCATTGGGTGGCAACTACGTGCACACCAGCCGGCCGGAAAGATGTCTCGCGAGCGGTAATTGCACCAGTAGTCGAAGGCGCCCCGCCAACCGTCGAAGGTTACGTGGATCTGGTCGTCCTTGATGGCGTCCACGGTGGCACAGCAGATGAGCTGCGGATTCTTTTTGTCGACTGCTTCTAGCTTCTGACCCACCTTGAACAGGTTCTCCTCCGGCGACAGCGGCTCTGGCTGAAATATCTCTTCCGGCGCCACCATTGCATTGTTCAAAATCTTGCAAAGGTAGCCGGGCCAACTGGAGGCGTTCATGCGGAATCCCAACGGCGGCTGCAACATCCCACCATTCTTCTCGCAGTGGCCAATAGCATGGATTTCCGTTGAGTCTACCAGCCGCCAGAAGTCGTTTTGTGAGTCGCTTCCGTCCAATCGCAGACGCAACCGGGAGCCCAGCACACCAACCACTGTGGCGATGCAGGTGGAAGTAACGTTACGTGGATCCAGGGCCTCCAGCTTCATACCGATCTTGAAGTCATTGTTGGGGGGATTCTGAGCCTGTTTGAAACATTCTGCAGGAGCAGCTTCGCTACCCGTTTCCTATGATGCCAGAAATACCATAAATTGTTAAAAGGAAACATGGATATGGAGCTATCTAGCTAACTTACCTCCAGGTAGGCATCCCAGTCAAACACGTGAAAGCTCTCGTATTGAAAGGGACCCGTGGGCGCCGGAGCTCCGCTGGCTAGTAACTTGCGCTCGTTTTCCGGCAGACTTTTGCTGGTTGCCGAGCCGCCACTGTGCCTGGTGGAGGAGTTCTTCTTTTGGTGTTTATTCATGCACATGACCGAGCAGAACTCCTTGTTGGGCGCCTTGTCTCGAATCACGTTGTCGCACTGCGTACACGCCCCTTTGCTGTACGCCTTGCGGAACTCGGCGATGCACGTCTCTGAGCAAAACTCCTTCTTGCCAGTCTGCGTCGGTAGGACGTATTGCAGCGGCAGCTTGCCCTCGCCACACCATGTGCAGCTGGCTCGCTTAGGAGGACGTCCCCGTTGTCGTTGCGCGGACGCGGGCGAGGTGGTGGTGACCGAAGACGAAGCTGAAGCTGGGGCACTTGTTCCAGCCGAGGCGGAATTGCTGGCGGTGCTATCGCGTCCGCCCGACATGGCTACCTTGGCTGCGCTTGGGTGTCCTAATTGATGCACTTGCTGATTCCCGCCGCCGGCAAGCCCGTTAACATCTCAGGCGATGGCCCTTGCTTCCGTGTATTTCGATTTTAGCGTCGCACTCGAACTCATGTAATGCCAATGGCATGGCGGCCACTTGAAAACACTGTTGTCCGCCTAGGGCAAATCGTATTCTCCGAGCCGCATGGAAGAACGGAGAGGAATTACAATAAATGTGCGGCGTTCTTAAGGTCACGTAATAACAATTGGTGGCAAAATCGCATCGCAGCACAAAAACCACACGCACCGCGCACAAGTAGTTTCGGCCTCAACAGCGTCGACGATTTTCATAAAAAGGGGTTTCCTTGCTTTCTGATTTGGCTGGGATGGTCAGTTAGAGCCAAATGTCAGTTTTATTGCAAAAATGTACTCTTTTAAGAACTTCTTAACTTTATTTTTCGCAAAATATTTTTTTCTCAATACTGTACTTGTATTTGTCGAGGTATCGATACTCTTCCTTATATCGATTGATATATCGATATTATACTCGATTACTTCACGCATCCGCCATATTTAATTTATTAGTGATGGCCGAAACAGTCATGGACATATCGATAAATATCGTAAACGAAACGTTTATTTTGTTTAAAAAAAAATGTTTACAAAAAATAATATTTGGTTATGTTCAGGAAAACAACATATTCACCGATCAGTGATTAAGTGTGTTCTGTCGAACACCCATGAACTTTTATTCTTATTTTGCTTATAACATAACGAAAATGACAATAGTACGTATACACGAACAACACGGACAACAGCTCGGGACATTTAAGGAATATAAATAATTAATACTTACCGTAGCACTTTGTCAAATTTATTTCGTTCGTTGTCGCTTTACAGCACTGCTGCGTCGCTACAAAAACACAAATAATAAATAAATTATTGAATTTTTTTTATTAATTAATTAAATTAATTTTTAGTTATTAAAGAACAAATAAGAATGCCACTGATTTCATGTAATAATTTTAATATAATATAATAATTTACGAGTCGATCCAGCCATGTCTTCTGTCCGTCCAACCGCTGTCATAAGAATGATCAAAACATTAAAAAAGAAATAAGAAAAAAAAGCTAACTTCGGCACCCCGAAGTTTTTATACCCTTTCAGGTTGCAGTTTGATCACTAGTAATCAATACAATATAAATTATACTAATTTATGTGAGAAAAACTTACAGTTTTACAGTTACAGTTTTACAATCACAGTTTTGCGCTTTCCTCTATATCTAAGCATCGTTTGTATGACAGCTTTATGATATAGTAGTCCGATTTTCATAAAATTAAAACCGAAATTCTAAAGTAATATAATATGGCTACATCTCAAATTCTATGAAATTCTGTTAAAGATTGGAAAAGTACGATTTTTTTCTTCTAAAAACTTTCCGATCGGTTTGTATGGCAGCTATATGATATAGGCGTGAGAGTATATAGAAAACTAACAGCAACTAAGAGACTAGTTTGCGTAGGACATGGCTTGATCGACTCGGTTGTTGATCCTGATCAAGAATATATATACTTTATATGGTCGGTGGTGCCTCCTTCACTGCGTTGCAAACTTCTGACTGAAATTACAAGAGTACAAGAAAGAAAGAAGCATCGAAGTGCGCCTGAGTTTATATATATGTATATATTTATATATCCTGACAGCTTAAAATGAATTAAGAATCTATCCCTTCGAACGAAGAAAGGTTAAATATTTTTAGATTTATTCTGAAGTAATAAAAAAGGTCGTTGAGTAGATGAAAATATGCTTAAGAAATTTAGGAAAATTTATCAAATTTCAGCTTTAATAAAGTATAATTTTCCATTCGCATTAGAAACCTTGCAAAATTAATGAAAATATATGTTTCTAACTGAAATAATCTGAACCCACATAATTACTTGAAAATTTAATGCAACCATCTTTGCCAACAATTTCACATAGTATATAAGTCGGGAAATTACTTAAAAATATCTTCAGCTATTTCAAAATGTACCTTGGGCTTAATGCCAGCAATTTGAAAGAATTTCCAATTTGTAAGGCTTACTACTGAAAAATGTAAGTCTTCTTAATGTGATGTGTTCAAAATCTTTCCTTGACTATAGTTATTGTTAATTATATATAAATATATCTTTAAGTTGCGGGGGGCCTATGTTCATATCTCAAACAAATAAGAAACGTAAATTAAATTTGAACATGTAATAATTATAATATCTGAACTAAGGTATGTATGATGAAGCTCAGAATAATGAACATTGAAGGAAATATTATTAACTTGATTTAGAGACCTACTAAAAGTATATCGCTTAAGAAGATAAACAACAACATTCCGAGCTGCTTGTTTCAGGAATTTAATACGTTTTGGTGGCAATAAAATCTACATCACATTACGTCGTAGGCGCCATCAAAGAAGGACAAGTTTTGCGAAACTTTTCTTGGATTAGCAGAAATATATATTCCACAACTTTTTGACTAACTTCCACTGCTTGATTTCTCATCTCTTTGCTTAAATGGCCCGTAACTTGATTTAATTGAAAGGCTTCAAAGAATAATCCGCTCATTTCGAATGCAATGGAACTAACATTTCAAAGAGAGATTCGACTGGAAGCCAAATATTGTGGTTAAAAAATACAAAGAGCAAGGACCGCCGTTAATTAAATCCTTGTGATGCGGCTGGGTGTGTGTTTTCCCAGCTTTAATAACACTCCCAATGAAGTGTCTACTGGCACTAAATAATATGTTCCTAATAATTAATGACTTAACTTGACCGAAACACCAAGTTCCTTGACACTCACACAATCGCATAAGCGTGTATAATTGGATGGAACCATCGGCTGGCTGGCCATAACAAGGATAATTGGATGAAATGAGCCGGCTGCCTCTTCCACTCCTCATTAAATGCCGTTTACCGAGCGTCAATCGTCGGTGGGCTATTAGAAAAAGGGGTGTCAAGAGACGCTCCGTTGAGTCATTGACTTATTACGCAAATCAGACAAAAGGCTTTTTGGGCGGGAATGCGGGCGTGGAGCATTGAGTGGATTCTTGAGTGGGGTTGAACTCTGTCCCTCAGTGACAAACATGTTAACGAGTATGAAGTGTCTTTCGAATTAACTGGATTATTATCAGTACTTGGTATTGCCACCTTATTGAGCAGGGAGGGGCCTATGACTAGATTTTAAAATAAAGATCAGCTAGAGTTAGGGGAAAAAAAAATAAATTAATACAAATGAACAAGATGTCATGTTAAGTTACAATCCTTAAGTAATTTTATACAAATGTAAGTGTAATATTAGGAATTTTTCTATCGTGTACACTGACTTTCCAAATGATTCTTCTAAGGAGAGTTTTTTATTCCCGTTCAAATACCCAAGACTTCTTTTTTGCTACGTATGACTTTTACACAGTATTCTTAAGGTATCCATTATTATGGATAAAAGAAATGACTCAAGTGTTTCTTGAAACCATTTAGTAAATAGTTCTATTAAGGTACAACGAACTTTCCGCTTACTTTAACTACATAGTTACATTTTAAAAAGGAATATGCTGAAAATTAAAAGTTAATTAATGAATTTGCCTCATACGCAGCGCTAGAGTGTTCCATAAAAGTGGGGGAGTGACATTTTTGTCAGGATTCAATCAGCTATAAAGCATCCTGCTGGGCTGGAAATGGAGGCGTGTGCTTATGTGCTTAATTACAACCCGACACATGCACATCCAAGTACATAAATACTCGAAGACACGTGTTGAAAGCAATTAAAAAGTATGTCAAAGTGGGCGAACATCATCATCTCGAAGGACCAAGGACACTTTGGATAGATGGCAACACTGTTGCCTGTTGATTGTTTTAAGATGAAATCTGGTTGTGGCTCCCAAAGCAATTTAAAATGCACAAATTACTGATAAAAAACCTTGTCTATTGTAATCAATCTCAGTTGAGAAGCACAACGGGTTCGCCCATTTTATGTATACCTACCCACAGGATGCAAGGGTATTACAAGTTATTACCAACGGAGAAGGTATGTACCAGGCATAAGGATCAAAATCGGGGTTTATTTAGTATATATGTATACTATTAATATTATTTTTTTGTTTAATGCAACTTGGTTCTTGAAGCATTAAGTTTCCTTTCGACCTGTTTTTAAATTTTTGGTACTTTGGTATACATTTAGCTTCTTTATCTTCAGTTTTTCTTTAAAATTTATGGAATAATGTCCTATATTTTTTATGTCAATAGTATTAAAGATAATATCTCATATTTTATGATTTCATATATTGTCAATATATAAAAGAGGTAATAGTACAATCTTTAAAATGTTAACTATTCAAGTTAAGAAAAACACAAGAAAAGAACTTAACTTCGGTAAGCCGAAGTTTTTATACCCTTTCAGATTGGCATAAGACCACTAGAAATTATAACAATGTAAATAATCTATGTATATGTATTTACATTCAGCTATATGAAAACATTATATTTACAGTTTTACATTCACAGTTTTGCTTATAACTAACGATGAGTTGTATGTGGCAGCTATGTATGTATGTATATGATATAGTCGTTCTATTTCCAAAACATTAAAACTAAAATTCTAGACTAACACCAAATGGCAATATCTCAAATTACCATATATGCAAGATCGATGCAGATCGACTAGGCTGTTGATCCTGATTAAGAATATATATACATTATAGGGGCGGAAATGTCTCCATCACTGCGTTGCAAAGTTCTGACTAAAATTATAACCCACTGCAAGGGTATTAAAACAATAACACAAGATCTTCGATTCGAAGCACAATTAATATTTTGGGTCTCCAACTCATCTTCTGCCATGGACGCAGGACGTGTGACGGATTTATGGCGAGCAATTTCACTCCCGTCCGGCCACGTTAGCACCATTGGCATGACATTGAGTGCTTCTGGTCGTGCTCCGGATCCTCGTCAACCGCCACAGCATATGTAAGCGCTGTCTGGCTTTAAATCGAACAATTAATGTGCAAATAAAACTCATTAAATATTAATTGAGTTCGATAATTACAGCGATGACGATGTCGACCCGCTGGCAACATGTTGCACGCAACACCTGAACTCGAGCAGCGGCCCCAGCGTGAATCCGTCAATTCCTTAATACGTTGGCGCACACCTTGGTGATTTATTAGAGGGGTCTAACCCTCTCAGAGTCCTGTCCCCGTGTCCGCCCTCTGATTACACCTCGGCTTCCAACCAACCATCACCATCCTGGCAACATGCCGCACTCGCACGTTTTCATTCATAACTCTTCGGACTCGGTTCCTTCCTCATCGACGACGACGTCGGGAGTCCTCGGAGGCAGCACTTCGGGTGTCGCTCGTGGGGCTTAATATAAAAACACGGCGTAATCGCTTGACTCCGTGAGTCCTCCGCTCGTCGTCAGCCTGTTGCGTTCGAGATTCGATGGTGGCACCACCAGGAGCCAAAGAAACAGCAGCCACACCAGCAGTACCAGCCACTCTAGCAGCAACAGTTTCAGTTTGAGTTACAGGATCCCGTTTCCAGTTTTCGGCGCGGTGCGTGAAAACATAAAATAAATTGGAAACACGAAAGATTAATAGGTCACTAATAGCTGCTGAATTTAACACACGCGAAGTATCTCGATCGTCATAAATCAATCCGTATCCGTCGCGCGTCGGAGATCCATCCACATCGAAATTAGGGGCAATTACCACTGATAAGGTGATTTCTTTTTATGTGATGTTATTCGAACAAAACGGGAAAAAGGAGACGTCGCTGTTTATTTATACATATATATGTCTTTAAGATTGTGGCTTAAACGTTGTTTCGTTGGAAAACGGCGAACCATATCAGATTTCAGCCAAAACGACGAAAATGTTGTGCAAGTTTTGGCGAAAGTTGATTGATTGCTTAAAAAACGTTTAAGCTAATTAGTTTTCCGTTCTATATACAAATATATATATATATATATATATGTGTGTGTGTGTGTGTGTGTGGTGTTTGTGTGAGTTCCTTTTAGACGGCTAAGGCACTGTTGCCGGCGGTTTCAGGTAACAACACGTCCCGTCATTTAATAGACAGCAAACAGGCTTAGCGAGCGTTGACGCTTTTGTTGGCAGCGTCGGCAATCACACCTTGTTATTTCCCCCATGCCTCGCCTTGCCAACGATTGATGTCTCTCAGAATTGACCTTTCTCTGGCGCTTTCTTTTATGGCCATAATCAAATCGGATTTAGGGATTTACGGCTTTTAAAGCAGGCAAAACTTGTCCCCTATGCCGATGCGATGTTCACATGCTGCTCGCTCTCGTATTTGCATGCGTATGCAAATAGCTCAAGTTGGCATAGATAAGGCATTTTCATTTCCTCGTTTTCTTCCGATAAAACTGAAGGGACGTGCTGGCAAGTAGCCCCGGGCAATCACGATTTCCGTCTCTGGGATATATGACAATGGCTGTCAGGCGGCGCAATGGTGGCCAATCCTCAGTGGGGCAGGGCAGTTTTATTGCCCTGAATTCCATATTACTTCCAGAAAATCAATATTTGTTCAACTTCAAATGTTAGAATTCATTCATTACATTCACCTCCTCTTCTTGGAAACTTCAATCCAAGGCGATGGCGAAGGAGATTGCGATGGTGAAGCCAAAAGCGAAGGAATTCCCCTCCATTAGGCAGAAAATCGCTCGAGAATCCCTAATTCAATTGCGGTGCAATTTCCGCTGCAACTTCGGCATGGGCGCGGAAACTTTCACATTTCATTCGCATTCAGCCACTCGCTTATTTGCGATCTATTTTATTTGTAGGGGAAATCAATAATAAAACCCATCAGTGGCCCAAAAGCGGTTCCCAAGCCTGCCCACGGAGCACTCGAATTTGGCCCGGACTCGCAATTCGCAATTCGCAAATCGTAAATCCTCGTTCAGCAAGTGGCATCTATATGACATGTGATTGCCGGCAGGACTAATGCTGCTGCCATTAGCACTTACTTACACGATGATGTCTAATGCTCCGGCTGACAGGTGGGATTCAATTCTGTCCCCCAGACCAGAACAAAAGAGCTCGGAGACGAGAGATGCGAGATGTGAGTCATGGGTCGCATTCTGCAGGAGGGTTCTAGTCGAAATCAGGATTCAAAATTCCGCCGTTTGCCTCGCTTTGAGGAACCACAAAAATTCAGATGTTTAGATTCCCTAAAAATAAGGTCACATATCCTGTGCTGCTTTGGACGGACACGCAACATTTTTGTTTTAAAGATTTTAATGAAATTTAAATGGCCAGTGAAACAAAAGCCGCCTGTGTCAAAAGTTGGTTATTTCTACTGTTAGCCTTGATGTGGACGATTCTAAAACAATGTACTCAATGAAAGGAAGAAAATTTGCAACAGAATCTATGTAGTTACATGGAACAATGATGCAAGAAACTTTCAAAGTTTGGTTTAGGAACATCACATTGGCAAAAGTTTGGTAATGGGTGTCTTTTAAATTAACTTATTTAAAAAATGTGCAGTTTGTGTACAACCAAGCAATAAATATTCTTTAAATTTCCCAATATATATTAGTGTAAATAGCACTAAAGAGGGAAAAACTTTAAAATTAATTAAAAGTTGTTAGGTATCTGGTACCTGATGTCTCTTTTTTAATTGTGCACACACTCGTATGTCCGAGGGTATATTATTTCAGACGGCCGAAGGGGGTCTTGTCATCCAAAGCTGTCCCCTAGATAAATGAATATATAAACGACGACGTGTTTTTCTGCAAGGACAGAAGTCTACTTTGGAAATTAAGTGCCCCAGCAACACCTTTAATTTGGAAACAGGAAAGGTACTGAAGTTTCACATCGACGTCTTCGCCTCCAATGCGAATGAGGTTCATTTCCTTTCCCAACTTACCCATAGTCTGGGGTATATTTACACTCAACTCCCCAGGCAAGCCGATTGAAAAGTCCACAGGGACGTGAGATTGATATGCATATACATTCAGCGAGTATATACATAAAAAACTAGGTTTCAGAAGTACCACATATTTACGTGGCCCATAAATTATGAGAAGCACTTCTTGTTGTCAGAATATTGCACATTTTTCACAGGTTAGCTGTCAGCCATTTATATTTTCATTGCATTCCAGTGGGAACGCCGGCGAGAGGTCAAAGTTTGCGAGCGGCAGTGGTCCGAAAATGTTCTAGCAATAATAGCCGCGCATATAAGCTTAATTTTCCATGCAAATGAACACACCATCTAAATTTTCATGCATATTAGACACTCCGCATCAAGCTGGGTTTGGCTGACACGCATAAATATGACAGGCAAAAGTCAAATTAAAAATCAGGCGTTAAACCAATACTGCCAAGCAGTTGATGAAATTATTTGTCTGATTAGGTTGGTAAATAAATCGTTAACGAGTGATTTTGTTGCAAAAATTAATTGCATTGCTGCCTCAGGACTTTACCTTACCCACCTATGTATTTTGTTGTATTAATATTTAGATTTCGATGTTTGCAATAAATTGTGATGAATAACACGCATTTTTTACCGAAAGCAATTTGCATTACATGCAAATTTGTAAATTGTGCACACACTGCGTTTCTGACCTTTATTTTTTCTTTTGCAGAATGATGAAAGCCACAGCGTGGTTTTGTCCGGTGTTATTAACTTTACTGTGTGCCACGGGGCTCGTTTGCACGGCGCAGCGAGGAGGAGCAGGAGCCGGACCAGGCCCAGGACCAGGACCAGGAGCAGGAGCCGGAGCGGAAGTCGGCGGAAGCGGCCGCACAAACGGATATCCTCTGGACTACACAGATGCACGAAATATACAGGTACATACATATTCCTTCTGTCCTTTCGCCGCTTTGTGACTGACAGCAGTTTTTGCGGCTCTTCAGCGAATGTTTTCCGAATGCATACTCAATTATTGGCTCTGTATTCCACGAACAACTGTTTTCCCAGCTCCTTTGACAAACGTCATGGGCTTCTGTTCATAAATTGACGCATTTTCCGAGGCATTAAGTCTTTCCAAGGACTAGGCGCCCAAATGTGTGAAGAATTCTGTGCTTTAATAGACTACATAATTAAAAGTTTACAAATTGATTGGCATCCCTACCCTAGAGATTACTAAATCACTTGTTCAAATCAACTCATCTCTAAATTTAGAATTTGAAGAAACTATTATATTTTTCCAGTTAAGTTGGAATTTTTCGTTGATAATCTAAAGTACCCTTGCCCGAGGAACTCTTTATGGGAGTTGCAAATCTCGTTTCTTCATTTCCGCGAATCCACTTGACACTGAAAGTCAGTTTGGATCTCGTTTATGGTTTAATCTAATCTGGCCCATGAGTGCTCCATCCGTGACAAATACCGCAATGTGAAACTGGTTCGGGCCAACAAAAATTAATCGTCAATACAATCAATTGCGGTAACAACACACACGAACATGGCAACACCATTACTTTACGTCAAATGCTTTCAAAACAAATGGAAATTTTCGTCAAGGATTTTACACAGGCTCATTAGCTGAACGAAAACACCCAAAAAGAGAAACATTCTATTTGTGTTGGTCAACTCCTGTTGTTGTCCACAATCAAAACTTTCACTTCTGATTTTTTAAGAAGTTGTTCGAATTCGGTGAAGTCGATTCTTTGTTCAGCGGAATTTAAATGCGAGCAAGTTCGTTTGTAAAAGTTGATATTAAAGCACAACAGTAACAACATTTCTGGTAAATTCCATGTGCGAACGATATATGAGCCAAAGATTGTAATATTATTGCCTGATAATTCCTATCCAATTGTATTATGTGTATACATCCATAATACATCACGTTCACCAGTATACCGAATTAGAAACTAGTTACATTATTTGGAAATTGTATTAATCGTTACCAAATTTGATATCAGATCTGATAAAGGTAGCCAACATAACTCTTATCTCACCTCGTTATGAGGTGTTCTCTATAGGATTTCCATGCGGCATCTTTAACACACATTAGCTGCGTGTAACCTATTTGAATGTTGTTCCCAAACCTGGTAGCCTTGGCTCTTGTCCCCACCAAGATCTAGTGATTAGTCTGGTAGTGCTGATAAAAGTGATAAACTTTATTGAGTTGCCTGTTACATACACACATTTTCAGTTCGCATCAAGTTTAAATACTATTATTCTTTGTGGACACCGGGTATAAAGACCGTCAGCCTTCGGGCCACGATTAAAGTCAATTATGAAACTTTCCATTTCCATTGCCCAAGATGACGCATAGCAAGCAGGGTACATATGTATGAATATTCCGATAAGGGTCGATTTTGCGACAAATCAGTCAAGTAGCAACCCATTGACTGATGCATGTATGTACGTCAATCAATCAGTTTATCACCAAGGCAGAAACACAAAACTAACAATATATTGTCATGGCCACGAAAGTGAAAGTTCAATAGCGCGATAAGGGTTTTAATGAGTGCTAAAGTTTTGAATTTTCAAGTGAACTCGAGAAAATAAAGGAATTCCTGATTTGCTTTTAGGCTCTTTTAATTGTTAAGATTATGGAAACTACAAAACTAAATGACGAGTACGTGACAAGTTCACTTAACATTTCTTAAATGAGGTTACAATCTTAGTCCTATAAATAGGTAACACGTGGTTTGTGCCCGAAGCACCGAGAATAATTTAGTTACAATAGTTTAATATTTGAACAATTTTTGCTATAAAACTTGTTGAATATTCAACCTATCGGTTTTGAGACGTCATGTCTTTGATTTTTTTCAGCAACTTTTACAGCGAGTCTGAAGCTCTTGGGGAATCCTTGACTTTAAACTAGGACCAGGATCCTAGACGATGGCATCGGTTGTGGTCTCTTCCGGAGCATTGGTGGTGGACTCTTCGGGTGCTTGGGTTGTGGATTCCTCAGGCTCTTCGGGGGCCTGGGTTGTAGAGTCCTCTGGCTCTTCAGGTGCCTGGGTTGTAGAGTCTTCAGGCTCTTTGGGTGCCTGGGTTGTGGAATCTTCAGGCTCTTCGGGTGCTTGTGTTGTAGAATCATCGGGCTCTTCCGGAGCCTGAGTAGTAGAATCCTCGGGCTCTTCCGCAGCCTGTGTAGTTGAATCCTCGGGCTCTTCCGGAGCCTGAGTAGTAGAATCCTCGGGCTCTTCCGGAGCCTGAGTAGTAGAATCCTCGGGCTCTTCCGGAGCCTGTGTAGTTGAATCCTCGGGCTCTTCTGGAGCCTGAGTAGTAGAATCCTCGGGCTGTTCTGGAGCCAAAGTGGTCTCTTCAGAAGATCCGCTACCTTCTTCGGGTTCCGTGGTGTTCTCTTCTGGACTCTTCGAAGTCTCACCCTCTTCGGGGCTCAGAGTGGTAGACTCTTCAGGAGCCAGAGTGGTATCTTCTGAAGATCCGCTACCGTCTTCCCCGTCTGTGGTGACTTCTTCCGGAACCTGAGTGGTGGAGACCTCTGGGGTTTCGGGGGCCAGAGTAGATTCCTCGGTGGGATTAGTCACTTCGGTGGTGGAAGCAATGTCCTCCTCCGTTGGTGGGGGTGGTGGCGGTGGTGGGCGATGACCGCCGTGTCCGTGGCCATGACCATGACCATGGTTGTTTTCATGACCGTGTCCATGTCCATGGTTACTGTTTCCGTTCCAATGACCCTGACCATGACCATTGTTGTTCCATTGATTCTGACCATGACCATTGCCGTTCCATTGACCCTGGTTATGACCATCATTCCAGTTGCCGGAACCTGCCTTAACCGCCTCGGTGTCATCCGAGCCCCAACCGAATCTTCTGATCCAGTTTCCGCCAAAGTTTCCGAACAAACCGCCGTTCGGCCGTCCCACGGCCACCGCCACAAGGGCCGTCAATACAAGGAGCGTTAGAACCTTCATTTCGCAAGTGTTTTGAGTGTACTAACCGGCACCAGGTGGGAGCATTGCTTTTATAGAACGCCGATAGCCAGAGGGTCCACTCCTCGCTGCCAGACGCTGCGACCACACACTGGCTTTTCCCTATCTAATCGCTAGCATGTCTGATAGCCAGACAAACAAAACTCGAAATTATCATATTTATCTGAGCATGATTTCTAAATCGGTTGTTTACGCCGACTGCCCGCTGCCAGCTGCCCGCTGCCCAAACTTTGAAAGGTAAATACTACGGGTGGCCCTAATCCAGCTTCCGAGAATTTACTTGCAAGACTTTGCTAAACTCTTCCCTGGAAACTATCATACACTTGCACTGAGCTGAGGTTAGATTTCGGGCGATTATCTTTACGATCCAGAAACAGTTCCCTGAAATCGCGAAAAGAAATTGCTTTCGGCGTTGTCATGCCCCATTATTAAATTAGAGTATCAGGTGTTTTCTAGTCCCGTTCACAGTTCCTACGCCTCAATTGCTTTCCAGCTGTGACTCACGAAATTATTCGAAATTTTCCATTTTATCAGCGCGAAGGGCTCTTATCGCCAAAAAGTCCGCTTGTTCATTGCGGAAGAAACGTAGAACCATAACAGCGATAAGATTCCAAGATTGATTTTAAGCGATAATTTCCCAATGGGGGAAAACAGGGCATGATGTAAGCCTGTTTATAGTGTCGCCTCCAAGATTGCCCTCTCCCCGACCAACTACGATGCTAATAATCCGTCGGAGGTTTTATTTCCCATCAAACTTGGTGAGCAGAACTGTTTTTGAAAATGGGACTTAAAACTTTTTGCATTACCTGGCCACGATTTTATTATGTGATGTGCCAAGAAGTTAGCAGCGAATGTAAATGTAAATGTTTGTATATACTCTCCCCGTCCAGGATGACTTTCTGCTCGTGGCCAAGCGCAACAAACCGTCGTTGTCCATTGTCAATCCCCTGGATGTGCTGCGTCAGCGCCTGCTCCTGGAAATCGCACGCAGGCAAATGAAGGAGAACTCCCGCCAGGTGAGTACAAGGGTGTGGAAAGTGGGAGGAAGTGGGAAGGGCGTGAGCCCAAGGTTACGGCTGCAATAGAAGGGGCCACGCTGACCACTTTGCACAGTATTTTTAATAAAAAGGTAAGGAGGGAAAAACTTTGGCCGCAAGACAAACGGAAAACAATTCCGCTGAAAGGAAAAGGAATGAGTAATTCGGCGGGGAGCGATGCGCAAATGAAAATGAAGCGGCTAATCAAAACTAGAATGTCTAATGAGAAATACTTTCAAAAAGCCATAAAGAACGCCCAGCTGCAAAAAGTTTTTTAATTCCTCCTCGCAAGCGCCAGTTCCATAAATATTCCATGGACTATCAGAGCGAGGAGGGTCCCGCCGCCGCCAGTTGGGATTGAGGAGCCCACATAGTCGTTCCGGAGCGGCAAGGTAAACAAGATCCAATCCCAAGATGGAGCCCAAACAGGGCTTAAGCACTTCGCCCAGAATATATGTACATGCAGCGCCCGAAACAAAACCAGCGTTGCGTATGTGTAACACAAATATTTTGGCTCAGCAACAAAGCGAGTTTATTTGGTTACCAAGCGCTTCGAGCCCAAAGGCGGAATGGAATACACAAGACAAAAAAGAGGAAAAAATCCGGGGAAAATCAAACGTTTTAATGCGAGGAATTCAAACAATTTGCCTTGATAACCGCCTAGCCTCACCTTTTGGCCCCCACGTTGAATTTTCGTTAAAGAGGGTCGATGCGGTGGCAATGGATGAGCACACGCTGCCGAACCCATTCACACACGCCGAGATAACAATATTGATTTGTCAAAGGGTTTTATAAATTAATCCAGCATCCCAAAAGCAATTTGAATCGGTGAAAGATGAGGACCGAGCACAGGTATAATATGCTCCTCAGCACGCCGCAAATGCTTTAAGTATCCTGCAGGGAGATTTACAGCCAGAAGGGAAATTGGATTGGCATTGTCCGCCTTAAAGGACACAAATCGACGGAGTCTGAATAATGCAGCGAAGGATAAGGAGCTATGACCAAAAATAGAAACGTTTATGTAATTTTCAAAATTAGCTCAGAGCCGAACATCACCAAACTTTATGGAAGAAACCTAAACTCAATTTCTCAACTTTAATTAAATATATTTACATATGTATATCTGACTCATTGATTAGAATTAAAGCTCATCAATTTGCAAACTTGAGCTCCAAGCAAGCACTTGGCTCCTTGAATATCCAGCTTGGAATGCAAACCAAAAGCGGTAGTCAATAAGTAAAGATTCATAGCTGTCAGTATAAATATGCCGTGATATCCTGCGATAAGACCTTGAGAATCCTGACGATTGGTTGACATTCAATGAAATCTCGTAGTTTTAAAGAGTCAATTCGAGACTCCGAGCAAAGGTGTTGAAGAAAAGCTTTGCTATGGACCAACTCTCAAGTAATTAAATAAAATGGCCCTTGAATTGCAAATCAAATTGCAACCTTAATCACATTTGGAGTGTGGTCGACCAATGTATGTATGTGTACGCCAATCTCGTTGGGCTGGTCCCCTGTTAAGGGAGATCCCTTTGGGAATGGAAATGGGAAGGCGGGTGGTGGATTCGGAATCGAATCGGTGTGGAAGTGGGGATGGGGCACTGTGGCCACATTGGCACCCATTTTATACAGCATTATTTGTGAATCCATATTGCTTGTTTTGCACTCGCACAGGTCGAACTCAACCGCGCCATCCTCAAGAACGTGGGCAAGCGAGTGCTCCAGCGTCCAGGACCCAAGGTAAGCAGCCGCTTTCGCCAGCAGTGGCCAACCGAGCGGGAACTGGAGCTTGAGCGACAACTGGACCGCGACCAGGAATGGGAGGAGCCGGAGGAGCTGCGTCAGCACGAGCAGGAGCAGTCACAGCAGCACCAGTTGAGTCGACAACAGCTGCTCTTGCCCTGGCAGCATTTCCCCAGCCAACTGTGGAGCTACCGATGGCCGCAGTCTCCGTCACAGTTTGCGGACTCAACACGGACCCAGTCACTACCAGAACCGAAGCAGTTGCTCAGCTATGCGAAGAAATCTCTGGACGTGGCCGGAATGGGACTGGCATCCAGGCATCGGGCCAACGGAAATGAAGCTGCTAACGAAACGAGCCAAGAGCATGAGAGCGAAGCCAGTAAAAGCTCGGCGAGATATGTAGGCGACGAGGAGCAGGATGACGACGCTAACGACAACGAAAACGACATTGAGGCGGGACTAGAGGGGTTCGAGCCAAACTGGACCAACGAGGAGGCAGCTGGAAGTGGACGCGGTCGAGGACGCGGACGTGGAGCTGTTGGTGCGGTCAATGCAAACGACCGCCTGCCCTGGACCTTTCCCTACCGCTTTCACAGGGGCCATAATGTTAACTAATTGAGCGGGATCGAGCCGCGAGTAAGGATACACAGATGCAGATACAGATACATTAACAGATACAGACACAGATACTGAGGCGGAGGCCGGTGCCGGTGCCGACAGCTTAGTGGTAAGTGCTATTAGACGGCTAATTGCAAATTGACGGTTCCTAATGGCAGACGGCAGGCAAAGGCAATGTTGTGTGTGCACATACTCCCTCGATGACGAACCTACCCCACGTTGCTACTTTGCTAGATGTATTCGCATTTGAATCCTATATTTTATCGAAAATAACCAACGGTGTATGTAACGATTTATGCTACCTCTCTCACAGATACTGTTCAAAAAAATAAATCCCCCGATTAATTACACTTAGAGGCGAAAGCTGACACTTACATACTTACTTACTGCGACCGAGGCGCGAGGGATATAAACGTAAATGCATTGCGTATTTAATAGTGATCTATGTGTAATTTGAGTAATTATTTAATCGAGTGGCGTTAATTACTCGTACGTAATGCAATAGGGATTTCATGTTTTGTTATTCGAATTCGCTAAAAACGAAAAAAATGGCTATTGTTGTTATATTCTCCGCGGGCGGAAATTGGTTATTTTCTGCATCCCTCTCTCTCTCTCGTTTACGTTTGCTGCGTTTCTTTTAATTACGTAACACAAATGCTCAAATAGAATTAGCATAATACGGATATAGTATTTCTCTCTTTTATTTCCGGTGCAAGCTTATTCCACAGTCGGTCACTATTGAGTTTACGTCGTCAGAAGGAAAGCAAAGGGTTCAAGTTTTAGGAGATACATACTTAAGAGACAAATGGTTCTAAATCATATACGAATTACGATTTTAGCCCTACTTACTTCCCAAAACAAGAAAGCTAATAAATACTTCAATACATGAATACGCCACGTGTTGTGTGAATGGACAAGGAATTTACCAAACAAGTTAATTAACCATTTAAACGTTACGTTCTGTACATTGCTAAATTTAATACAAACAATTAATTTCTATGTGTATGTAAATAAAATCCAATCGAAATTAATTAAATTCCAAAACGAACAAATTATATATTATACAAAAATTATATGTATGTACGTATATATACTTATTAAAAAACAGCAAACAAACAAAGAAAACAAAAATAAAAATCATGAGGCATTGACATGACATTCAATTAAAAAGCCATCCGCTTAATTAACTTTCTTCGGGACTCAATACTGGGGGAATTGTATTCATATTTATGATGGGTCCGAATGGAAGATTGGATAAATACAAGGGTCTCTGAACTCACCTTTAATCAATAATTGGAACAATCCCGTTTACCTGGTCCATTGTTTAGACGTCTGCAGCAGGCAGAGAGAGAGAATGGCATCCCCTATAGGGTACCAAGATATACATATACATATATCGCCTGGTATTCAACTGGTACTGTATAACATATATTGGGCATTTTAGACAAGTTCACATGCTCAAATCTCTTTATTGAATCGCTACTCCCTATACATATTGCAACTCTCTACGGATATTGTGCGCTTTTGGACCCCTCCTTGGACGGATTTGTACAAATAGATAACAGCTAATAATTGTGCTGGCGGTGCCCTGTGCTCCCGAGTGCAAACAGTTTGCCTCGCCCGAGGGCTTAATTAATAACGTTGTATTTGAGCCGGATTACACGAAACTTTAACGTCCGCCCACCGAAAAACAAAAAAGATAATTATCACAGCGCCATTAGGAGCCCCACTCACGTACAGCCGTTGACATGATGGCAAACAATGGCACGGACACAAAAAGTGACCGGGACCAAGACTGGGACTCGGACTGGTACTGGGACTGGGACTGGGGGCTCATTCACTTGATGTCACAGAGCAGGGCCACGCCGCGTAGGGTCCAGTGCTTGGGATTGAACTCGGTCTCGAAATCAATCGAGCCCACGTACTTGAGGTCGGTGCGCTGGGGCTTGCGGTAGATGGGGCACTCGTACAGCTTGGGATCCTTGCCGGCCGTCGTGTTAATCGCATATATATAGATGACAGGCATCTGCTCGTAGAGCACCTTCATCTTGGACTCAATCAGCCGACCGCTGCGGCGATCCAGCGAGGCTCCTGCAAAATGAGACAGGCATCAATCGAAGGTACAAGTTCAGGTGAAAAGGTAAGGAAACTCACCCTCGAGGAAGAGGCCGTGCACATACACACCCTCAGTGGGGTATTCGCTGATGTCCTCACGGTTGTAGCGCGTTATTTGATTCTGCAGCACCACCGAGTCCAATGCCCAGCCTTTGTGGGCCCGCGTCACCTCCTGGGAGTCACCGGATTCAAGTGTGTCGCCGCAGACATGTAAAAAAGAAAGCAAGAACCTTTAATGTGAAGTGAATCAGATACGTCAATCAGAACAGCAGGAATACTGGTTTTAATGGCATAAAGAAAGTACTCCTTCGAACGATTTATGTATTCATAACAATAGAATATCGATTCCTGGCTAAGCGGTGATTTGCATTCACATCCCGTTTTTCTTATTAAGCAACTAGTCACCGTCCTCCATAAGTGCTAATTGAGACAGGTCCTGTGGGTGTGCCCACATCCAGGACCTGCAGCCTCTCACCTGTCGCATGGCTGTTAGAAAGCCTTGGGGATTAAAGAAGCCCGTCATCCAGAAGACCTAGTTAATAATAATTTCCATTAGAAAGCTGCACAATGCTCAGTGTTGTCCCCTCACCTTGGGGCGATCCGTGGAAATCCAGGTACGGAACTGGCCGTTTCGCTCCAGCAACTCAGTGTACCAGAAGCCCAGAGTGGTGGACTCCCAGGATATCTGCAAGTGACGTTGACATGACATTATCGTGTTGGCCAGATTCAGAAACAAGCAAACAAGTTTATGTTGCACCCCAACTGGGATGGGGAGAGTGCAAAGTTTATTAGATTAATAAGTAGATTCAATGACTAAACGCAATTTTTGTGGCTTATTGTGGGATGAGGTTGAGCCTCATCAATTTGAAGGGTCTATTTTCGGTGGAGTACTAGTTCTAGTTATAGTCTCTGTCGAACGCGGTTTCAGAAAATAACCACTATCTCGTCATCTGAAGTAAATTGATATCAAATAATAGGACCTGTGCGATGTCAACATTTTGCAACGCAATTCTGTCCCGATATAATTTTCATACCTTGAATACCTGTACATATTTTTAAACAACAAATTAAAAAAAAAACACGGCACGTCGAAATATATATATACCCTTGGAGATAGAACTTCGATGACTAGGAATATTTATGTTAAAAAACAATAAAGTAATACCTGATTTCATTTCATTCACCTGTATTATATTTATAGTTTTACATTCACAGATTTGCATTTTTCTATATAACTAACTATCGTTTGTATATGATAGTTTCGTCAGATTTTAAAAAAATGTTACACAAAATTGTAGAATTATATAAATTGGCAATATCTCAAATTTGATCAAATTCAGTCGAAAACTGAATATGTTATCATTTTTAATTGTATTAAATTCTCGATCGTTCCTAAGGGAGCTATAGGATATAGTAGCCAATTTTCATAAAATTGTACAGAAAATTGTAGAAAATTAAATACATAGAAATTGTATCTCAAACTTGATGAAATTCTGTTGAAAACTAAACATGTTTTAATTTTTTTTTGTAAAAAATCATCCAATCCGGCCCGTTCCGACATATATTCGAGTAAGAGTATATAGAAGACTAACTACAAAGACTAACTTCAAAACTGAGAGCTTAGTTTGCGTAGAAACGGACAGACGGACATGGCTAGGTCGACTCGGCTGTTGATGCTGATCAAGAATATATGTACTTTATATGGTCGGAGGTGACTCCTTCACTGCGTTGCAAGCTTCTGACTGAAATTATAATTCCCTGCATGGGTGTAAATATATTAAATTATGTGTTGTTATGCGGAATTAGTCCCAAACAAGTAACGTCTTAAGCAATTAAGTTATAGTTTCAGGACTTGCTCTAAAACGCTTCAAAGGCATTAACTTAATCTACGTGTAGTCTTTTAAGATTCTGTCAGCAAATTTGGTAAGTCTGGGTAATAAAGCCTCTTATATATAGAGAATCCTGCAGACAGACCGACATGACTACATCGCATCTTTGATTAATGCTGATAATACTTATTTAGCATAGTTACGATTGTGTTTAAGGACGCAGTTTTAAAGTATAATACTTGTGTGGAAAACCTCGTTTCAAAGGTCTGAGGTAAGAATTAAATGTTAAATATTTTGCACCGTATTTTCCATTGTTTCCTTTAGGTACCTCTGAACGTGTTTTGCGAGCTTTGCCACCTCAAACGTTTTCACGCATAATTATAAAATACCCCAACATGAAAGGCCGCCAAAAAAGAATATATATTTTTTCCCTAGCAGAAATCAATTGTACAATTTCCATATTTAATGCCTGTGAATATTCCGCCCTCCCTTTATTAGGTGCCCTGGAATTTCAACGTGGACGCTGTGAATAAATGTAAATGTCTAAAGGACTAACCTTCATCCAGGTCTCGGGAATGCGGGCATCGTACATCGCGTCCAGGGACTCCTTCAGCGCCGGACTCATCACGATGGTGCCGTCGATGGCCAGTTTGAGGTCACAGAGGCAAGTGTGGACACGCTTGATGACCCGTTGCATGCGATCTATTTCCTGCCTGCGATTACATTATTACAACAACTACTCCACTATGCTGGACAGGAATACTCGCCTGAGGAAGATGTTCATGGGCAGGAGGATGCCCATCCGGTTGAGATTCTCCCGCACCTCGTAGGCGTTGTATTGGGCTGGCAGCTTACGGAGCATGTCGTCCGCCAGCTGGTAGACAATGCTCTCCCGGGTCTCGCCGCCACCGCCGCCGCCCTCCTTGGGCTGCACGCTGAGGATGGTGTCGAGGATGCCTGGCGATGTAAAATCAGAAATAAAGAACCAAATATTATTTAAAAGGGGTCATTGAATAGTAATGTTCTGGTGCCCAGGTGGGTTGCGACTGAATGGGACCGCAAAACAACGTTCTTAAATCGAGCACGCGGCGGCAAAAACGGCCACGGAAATATTCAGTTTATTGATTTCACACACATTTAGGTGGGCAGCCTGCCGCCATTGATTATGCAACAGGGCTTTACTTAAATCGGACACATTGATAATTTATGACCTGCTCTCGCACATTAAACTAGTATAAATAAGGGATTCTGCGCGGTGGTCGAATTGGGAATCGGGCATTCGGAACCAGACCTGCACTCACTCACCTTTGGCCGAATTGATTTGGTACGTGATGTCGGCATTGGAATGCAGGCCAAACACCTCCGGAGTGTCGTAGGCCGGCAAGCTGTTGATGTAGTCGATGAAG